AATGTGGCTGCTGTGTTCTGGAGAATGGGCTGGGCTTACGTCCTTGGGCTGGGGTGGGACATTTAATTATACCATGGAGCTTCTTCATTGGGCTCGTCTGCAATGGCTCCTATGGGGGCTGCTGCCTAGTCGTCGTTCCTACCCTATCTATTCTACCCTAAACCCTAAACCCTAAACCCTAAACCCCTTTTGAGAAGAACCAAATAGAGTCCGGAGTCTGGCAAGGTGCGGTAGGAATAAATGCCGCAGGCCCGGGAAGCCCTACACGCAGCCCGGCATTCGGCTTCGTTGCCGAGGTTGGGGGTCTGCACCTCTCAACAACGTGTCTCTCTGTCTCTGTGTGTACGTGTGTGTGTGTGTGTGTGTGTGTGTGTGTGTGTGTGTGTGTGTGTGTGTGTGTGTGTGTGTGTACGTGTGTGTACGTGTGTGAGTGAGTGCGATGAACATTCAAAGGCAGGCGCACGATGCCACGATGAGTTTGGCGGGGCCACCACTTCTTTCCAGCAAGTGTCGTCCAGCACCTGAAGCAGCGAGGAACAAGGGACAACTTGGGCCAGGCGACGAGCCAGAGGCCCCTAGAAATGCTCACAGTGGGATGATAGTAAGAAGAAGGGAAGCAGGCACAACCGAAAATCGAAGGAACAAAAACAAAGAAGAACAGCAGCAGCTTCCCTTAGACGCAGCTGCGGCCCAGGCGCGGAGATGTTGATCTCCCCCGAAATGGGAGGGACTGCCAGGCCCGCCTGCCACTCGAAGTATCCAAGAACCTCGTGGCGGTTTAGGGAGTTCGCGGAAATTGAAAGCTTCTGCCCCCGGCCCTGTGCCCTCAACCCAAAACTAAATAAACCCTAACACCAAATACCGCCCCCATACCCTGCCTTCCCCCTCCCCCCTCCCCCTTCTCTGCTCGCCTCACACTGCAAGGATGCACTTGATCTGGCCGCCGCAAGGACCCCATCAAAGACCTTCGTGAGGTTGGCATCCGGCGCCAAAGCCAGTGCACCGGTAAAGAGGTCCATGGAGAGCACCTTGCCCAGTTTGTCGCTAGTGGTTAGGGGTCCATAGATTAGTATACCTAGAGTGTGGGGCTCTCTGGGCGCAAATCTGCGGGTTAAGACCTAAAGCCTTACTCGGTCGGGACCTAGTCGGTTACACTTTCTGCACTTTGAACTTGAAGTTTCCCTAGGTTCTGGCCTCGCGCATTTCGGGCAATACCATGCACATAACTCGTTTGCTTGTGAAACTGTGGTGCACTCTTTGGGTGTTCGGTTCCCGAAGGGCTCGGCCCCCTAAACCCTAAACCATGAAGAAGGGGTGTTAAGGAGGGTCTCAAGTTTTAAGGATACGTCAACTTTGATGAAACCTCAATCCCGACCAGGTCACGCGATAGCCATTGAGGAAGCCGGTGCCCGTCAGCTCGTCAAACTCGAAGCTGAAAACCTCAAGCCCCGTACCCCAAACACTAGAACGCACACCCTGAAAGCCCATACTTACCAGCCGACACGTAAGTCATTCCCAGGCTTCAAGCCCTACCTAGAGCCTCAGAGCCCAATGTAAAGCGCCCCCCCCCCTCCTCGAGAGCTCTAAACCGAGCTTAGGGCTTCTCTGTAGGGCTAATATGTGAGGCTTTTCGGGCTGAGGGATTTGTGCTTTTCAGGTGTTTTTTGTGTTTTTTTGGGGCTGGGGGGGGGGGGGGGGCGGGCGGGCTACATATGTTAGGGGTGAAAAGAGGGCTCAGGGTGTAGGGCCTTGTCTGTGTCGCAGGCCATGGCGAAGCGCGTGGGACGCACCCGGGCCTGCGCAAATAAAAGTAGCCTTTCGGGTGCCTGGTTCAGGTGTTTTTGGGGTGGTTTGGGCTTTGGATGAGCCTTCAAGGCTCTAATTGTAGGTTGGCTTGTCATGTGGCTGAGGTTATGCTCCCCCTCGTGTCTTGAACATTGCTTGTGAAGTACCTTGGTTGCTTTCCACCTCCAGCTCCTCCCAAGTTATGCAATCGGCTCTTCAACCTTCAACTCCCTGAGACCCCTAAATAAGCCGCAAACTCCAATTCCATGAAAGCTGCGAGCCTCTGGCTCTTCCGTAAGCTCTGGGCTCTGAGTGCCTTGAGCTAAGACCGGCTGTAGTGACTCACCGACAGTGACCTTGGCAGCATTCAGGGAGATGCAGAACCCTTCCCCACGGGACGTGGAAGACTTTAAAAGCGATCAAAGGATGTCGCAAGACAAGCCGAAACGTGCTACCTAGACATGGAGCAGTGCGTGTACAACCCTATGTAAAGCCTGATGCCCCGAACCCAGCTCCGTCCTTTCTCCCTGCACCCCGTGCACCCCAAAAGCCTATACAGCCTAAACCCCAAACCCAAAACCTTAAATGCAACCTAAACCCCAAACCCTACCGAAAGCAGCCCGGTCACCCGGAGGTCCGTGGAAGCGTAGTGAATGGCCTCGACACAGCAAGCCAGAAGCAGGGGCTCAAATTTATCGAAAGAGTTCACGCTGAGAGCCAGCCGGCTTGTTGGAGCTCGTTATAGGCTTTGACCCGTCCAGGCTAACAAGTGCCCCAAGACTGTCTGTTGCATACCTAGCAGGATGGTTTAACACCCCGCCCTTGCTGGAGTTGTTGTAAACTGTTGTTTTCGCGCCGCTCGTTGCTTGTATCTGGTGGTGGCCTGAAGCTTTTTCACCACTACTTGCCTATGGTGTTGCTTCTGGCTCAGCAGCTTTAATCTTGGGCCTGACCTCCTCATGGCCCCTTCCTTCACACTACCGACTGACTTCCTGCCTTCCGGCTCCACTTTGACCCACTCCTCGAGCTCTTTGAACCGTACTTTTCGAATCTCTTTGCTGTTCTCGAGCGGCTTGTTGCTGCCTTTGGTGCCTTTCCATTATTCTTCGCCTTCGCTGGGGCTTTCGCACTTCTTATCGTCGCCCTGCGCACTATGGCTTCCGAGCTTCTCAGGTTGAAATCGGTGCCCCACTTCTGCCCGGGCACGAGCACTCCTGGCTAAGACTTAAGCCCTTGGCTCGACTACTCGTAATGGATGCCTTGGTACCCACACTGGCTGTCGTATCCCCGATCGACTGGGGGTCGCCCGTTTCACAAGCGGACACTAGCTCCGCTACCATCTGGACTCGTGATCCTCTACGTGAAAAGAAAGCAAACATGAGTTCTTCTGTGCCAAACAAGTCAAGTGGCCGGCCACGTCCAGGGCGCAAGCAGCAAAATCTGCAATGCGGTCTTCCCAGAAGCCACCTCTATACAGTTCAAGGGATTAGGGTGTCGATTTTATGTAAGCTTCTGCAGTACCTGAATACTGACCATGGGTTCAATCACCCACGATGGCGAGGAGGGTTTGTGGCTTAGAGATTCTGCAAGTATCAGCTTTTCGTAGATGCTTAGATGTCCCCGGTGTGTAGGCCGGTGATAGCTGTCCCATGACTGCTGTTGCCACAGCTGGTGATATATACAGCTGTGGCTGCAGTGTGTGATGCGATTGAGCTGTCGAAGCGGTGGGTGTCACTCGTGTTATCGCTGCTCCTCCTTCTTACGTAGCAGAAGCCAAGCCGAAAAATTTCCCGCTTTCACCCCCCACTCCCCACCACCCCGACCCCTACCCCCCCCTCCCCCCCTCCTTCCCTCCAAAACCCCAAAAAATGCAACAGAATACACCCCAGAATTCAACCCAGACACGGCAAACCCCAGCATCACCTCAACACAAGTCTTCCCGGTGTGCCTGGCAAATGCCTCCGGAGACCTCCTCCAGACCCGGGACCTGCAAGCCCGTGATGCCGGAGGCCTTCCGAGTTCTGCACGAAATTTCAAAAAGTGAAAATGCACACCCTCTTCGAACTCCAAACCCTACAGCCCTAATACACCATCCGTAAAACCCTGTAGCCTCAGCCCCCTCTTTTTTGGGAATGGTTTGGGGGTTTGCCCCGCTAGAGACGGGTACAGTCCTCCGACCCTGGCAATACCTCCTGGTGCCATTCGCATCAGCGATATTTGTAAACGAATGGGTTTAGGGTTTAGGGTTTAGGGTTTAGGGTTTTGGATGAAGCCAGCGTGTGATGTAGCCTGCTGACTCCAGTTTCGCATGAAAGCATTATCAGTGAATTGGGGTGTTGTTCAGACGCCGGAGTCTGAATCCTCACAAGGACAGCTCCACGCAGCCAGGCAGCTTACAATGTTCAGCTCAAAGCCCGTGAACCCCCAAAGTCCTACAGAAAACCCCTCTGCGCCCCCCCCCCCCCCCCCCCCCCCAACCATCGCACATTCCCAAGGCCCAAGCCCCCCAAGCAGAAGCAGCGTATCCAAGTCCTCGGGGGAAATCTTGGAGTCCACGGTCAAGGTGCCCGTGCTCTTGTCAATGTGCACGTAGGGCATGATTCCGTCCGGGAGGCATGTGAGGTTGAAGGCCTCAACGGCTACAGTGACATAAACTCTTCCACCCCAAAGCCCAAATTTCCTAAGTGCGGCTTACAGACTGAGGCAAATGGGAAACCCGAAACTCTGTCAGTCCCACAAAGTCGTTTCGGAGAGGCTCCTTCTCCCCAACCCCCGCAAAGCGGGGGGTGAAGCTGTGGGACGTTGCGGGCGTCACGATGAGGACCTCAGCGCGGCAGGCATACAAGCTCAACAGCTGGGGGGTTTCGGGCTTAGGGCTTGGAGGGCTTATGGCATCCCGTCCCTGAACCCCATTAAAGGTCTATCACAGCCCAAACTCTCCACTATCGGCATCTGTCCTCAAGTCTTCGGGACTGAAATGGTCGCAGCATCCAAAGCTAGGATCTTATGCAGGCTTCAAGGGCTTGCGGTTGAAGGCCTGGAATTTGAGGCTGAGGGGTTTAGGACCCAGCCTTCGGGTGCAGAATTAAGCGAATAAGCGGCGCTCGGCTGGGCCTGACGACATGGGGATTTTGGGCTCCAACTTCGCTTTTTAACGCTTCTGGCCAAGGGTCAGAGCTGCTGTAGGCAATAGCTGCATCTGCCTTGACCAGCATCTCGGCCGAAGCGTTAAGGCCACCTGCAGCAACTCAGCTCCCCCACATAACCCCCACCAAACATCGGACACTAAGTTGAACCCTGGACTCTGACTCCTCAATCCCCCCCCCCCCTCACTTCAGTTTCCTCACTCAGCCTTCGCATCAGTGAAGTCGCAACTGATCGCGAACTTTCATAGGAGTCTACATGTCATAAATGTAGTTGCAAAAGAGAGGGCGCGAGAGATAGAGAGAGAGAGAGAGAGCGAGAAATCAAAAACAAGAACAAAAAAAAGAAAGAGGGACAGGAAAACAAACAGGGAGAGGGAGAGGCACCCCTTAGTCACCCACCCTCCGTCCCATAGAGTTGAAGATGGCTCGACAGTCAAAAACCCGGGCAGGGCCCCGTTTCTGGGGCACTGATCCAGACAGCGCACTGCAACTGAAGATGTATGATTGCCCCTTACCAAAGACGCGCAAAACCCTCCGAGAGGCGTCGCACAACCCATGTTTTCAGGCCCCTCTCTCATAGAAACAGCAGTTTCCTAGATCTGAGTGTTTAAGTCCTTTACCCCATGAACTCCTAGCCCCTAGACTCCAATTTTCAGCATTGACAAACTTTGGGGAAGGCTGACTTCATCCAAACTCCTGAACTCCAAACGCCAAGACTTGCTGACTGAAGCAGTTTCCGCCTGGCTGGTGCGCGGTGATGGTGCAGGATGCCTGCTTTTACAGCTTTCTGGAATATAGACTCGCGCGTGGCTTCTGGGCTATTCTGGGCTCGTGTTCACGGGCTCAGATTCAAGCAGCTTTATCTGGAAGAGCTTGCGAGTTAGGGACTTGAAGAACGTAACCCTGAACCGCTTGAGCTTTGAGGATGTACGGTAGGGCTTCACATGCTCCGAGTCACAGGTCTTACGGTTTTACTGCGGCTTGTGGGGCCTTCAAGACTGAACACTGAACGGTTTAGGGCTTTCGGGCTTTCATGCGCCTGGGCTGGCTCGTCTCCATGTCGTGACCCGGCACTCTGACTCTTAAATCGAGGAGCACAAGCCTCGAAACCCCTGATTCTGAATGGTGATTCTTCCTGCGCCCCACTTGTGCTGGATGTTCCTGCCCTAAACCCTACACATCCGGGTATTCCCCTTGGACCCCCCGTAGCCCTAATTCGAAAGCATGCACCCCGAACCTCAAACCGACACCCCACCACCTCAAAAAGACCCCAAATCCCTGGAGTCGGAGGCCCTGTGCCTGGAAGCCTTGCTTCGTCTCCCCTGCGCCGGACGCGAGCGGGCTCATGTTGTGGGTTGACAGGACACGCATTTTTAGGCTGTTGGGCGGCTTTGTGACTGTTCAGTTTATGGTGGCGACACATCGGAACCCTTGGAGCAGGAACCAAAACCCTGGACCCTCAGACGTCAAGCCCGAAAACTCTCGACCTGTTTGTTTCGCGTTGTTCCATGAACGGATTAGAAGCCTGATCTTAGGGTTTACATTTCTTGTGGCGTGAGAGCAGCATTTCGAACATCCTACACCATAATATGACGTGCAGCCCTCACCTTGCCATGACACAGAATGCCCCTTTTGAAACAGTGGATGTCACACACGCTCTGGACGTTAAGTCATGCAGGAGATGCCTATTCTATCCTATTCTATTCTATTGTACACAACTGCGGAAGTCTCGCGTCACAATGCCCATGGGTGACCATCTCCTGTGTCCTTCAACTAAAGCCCGGCGTTTCCCTCAAGCCTCCACAGCCCACGGATTTGCAGCCTGGAAGCAGCTCAAGCCTCGATTGCCCCCGCCATTGGGTTTCAGCATGGCTCGAAAAAAGTGGCCGAGGCATCGTAAAAACCCCCTCCTTATCCTAAGCCCTAAACCCGAAGGCCCTAATCAGACCCCAGGACCCTACCTCAGGACCCCGAAACCCCTCAGCAACAACTAAGCACCCCAGGCGCGCTCCAGTGGTACCATTCAGCGTGAGGTTGAGGCTCAGCAGCCTTCAGTCTGGGAGTCTGGCGTTTACAGAGTTCAGGATTCAGAGGGTTTAGGGTTCGCTCATAGGGTTTAGGGTTCATAGGGGTTAGGGGTTAGGGTCCTGTGGAGTTGGGGGAGGGCGGGGTTGACGTTGGAGGGCGTTTGGCGTTTGGGGTTGCGCTCCAAACAAGTTCGTCTTGGTCTTTTGGGCCTGAAGGTTTCCGAGGGCTTTTCGGGTTGTTGCAGGTGTTTGGGGAGTGGCGCACCAGTAAAGTAGTTTTCAAAGCAGAGCCTCCCCCTGATCAGGAGCCCACCAGGCCTGCAATGTAAAGAACATCCGACCGGTTCTTGGGTTGAAACCCTAAAGCCCCCGACCCAGAGCCCTAACCCTAAACCCTAAACCCTAAACCCTAAAACCTGAAAAACCCTGAGCCCCTGCAAGAATGCAGGAGCCCTAAGTCTTAAACCAATGAAACCTGGACGAATGTAGACCCGGAAAAGCAAACCAAAGTTGCTCTAAACCCTATAAAACCCTGTAATTCCTCTAAACCCCCCTCCTACCCTGTTGCCCTTGACATCCCCAAAGCCCTAAACCCTAAACCCAAAACCCAAAACCCAAAGCTCTGCATCCTCAAAACCTGGAAAAAGCCCCCCCCCCCCCCCCCACATGCATCCCAACACTCCTTAAACCCTTAACCATGATCGAAGCCCTTAACTTTAGACCTCTCTTTCACATTGTATATATGATTCAGCCCCGGCGGGCCCCCCCCCCCCCCCCCCCCCCCCCCCCCCCCCCCCCCCCCCCCCCCCCAATGGTACCCCCCCCCCCCCCTGTGGTGTGGTTGGGGGTTGGTTTTAGGGTAGGGTTTAGGGTTTAGGGTTTAGGGTTTAGGGTTTTAGGGTTTTAGGGTTTTAGGGTTTTAGGGTTTAGGGTTTAGGGTTTACGGTTTAGGGTAGGGTTTAGGGTTTAGGGTTTAGGGTTTAGGGTTTTCCCCGCGGATGGGGTACTAAGATGATCCCCCCCCCCCTGTGGTGTGGTTGGGGGTTGGTTTTAGGGTTAGGGTTTAGGGTTCAGGGTTTTAGGGTTTAGGGTTTAAGGTTTAAGACTTAAGGTTTAGGGTTTAGGGTTAGGGTTTAGGTTTTAGGGTTTAGGGTTTAGGGTTTAGGGTTTAGGGGTTTAGGGTTTAGGGTTTAGGGTTTAGGGTTTAGGGACCGTAGAGTAGACTTGGGGGGGGGGATACCATGGGGGGGGGGGGGGGGCCCAGGACGCTCGACGCTGAACCATATATATATATATATAATAATAACAAATAATCATACTTGTAATAATCATAATAATAACATACATACATACATACATACATACATACATACATACATACATACATACATACATACATACATACATACACACATACATACATACATACATACATACATACATACATACATACATACATACATACATACATACATACATACATACATATATATATATATATATGTGTGTGTACATTTAGTCCTTAACTATGCCTCTTACTGCAACTGCGGATCTGGTACTCGGCCCATGTGGAATTGCCATGCCCACACATTTTTTTGCCATGCCCACAGAAACTTTGCCAACACGCTCTTGCACGGAAAGCTTTGCCAAAGGCATGCTTGGCAAAAATTTCTGCGGGCAAAGGGTGTTGGCAAAGTTTTCCATGGGACTGCCTACTGGGCCTTGGGTTTGGGGTTAGGGGCTTGGGCTTCAGGGTTTAGGGCCTATTGTGCCTTGGGTTCTATGGTTTGTATGGTTTGAAAGGAAGGGTGGCTTGAGATGTGAAGTTAAGCAGTTTTGGAATGTCGTGGGAGCCTATGGGCGGGTGTGTATGTCTTCGTCACTTGACAAGCTGCTGTTGAACCCTCAATGCTAAACCTTACAGAGACACAAGCCCCAAAAACTGGCAACCCCAACCGCCTACAACGACCTTCCGAAGATTTTTCTGCCCCTTACCAAGGACTCAACGTCACATGTCCCAAAGTGGCCTGGACGCCCTCAGAACACCAACCCTAAACCCCAAAAAACCCCGAACCCTACAAACCCTAAGCCCAGCCGCGGGCAGTCGCTGTTCACGGAGTAACGCTCCGCTGTGCGAGGAAGAGGAAACCCGCGCACGGAGCTGTCACCGATCCTGGGCTGTGAGGGTTGAGGGGTTTAGGGTTTGAAGCCTTAGGGGTTTACGGCTTTAGGGTTTTGGCCTAGGGGTTTCGGGCTGTAGAGGTTTAGGGGTTTAGGTCTTGGGAGCCTCAAGGCTTTAGGGGTGTTGGGGCTTCTAGACCTTTGGGGGTTCAGGTGGCTCCAGGCTTTACTAGTCACATCTCCAAGCAAAGTATGCAGTTGGCACTACACGCTCGAAAGAGAAGCGCTTGTTGTGTGCAAGGTCTATATGTGGGTAGTGACCGCATGTGCTTCTGCGCGAGTCCCGCGCGAGCCGTTGCGAGGGCCGCGCGTCCATGGGTTGAAGGGGGCGTCTTTGCACGCCAGGAACTTTGCCCCTAAAGATGCGTGGTGTTGTCGTGAATGAGATTTCTGCTCGGTGGTGCAAGTGGGTTCTGACCAATCTTGGAATTTGCGAATCCCCAGTGTGCACGCGCCCGAGATACGACTTCACACAAGAAGATACGACTTAACCTACCCAGCGGGTAGGGACCTCAGGGGGCCTGTGATTCAGGAAAAGCCACCGGATGGGGTTGATGGTCCAAGACGTGTATTTCTGCAACTCTCAGCCTCGTAGCACTAACAGAAACCCTGAACCCCAACGCCCCCCAGCCTTTAAAGGCACCCGCTGACAGCCCAGGAACACCATGGGCTCGGCATAGTATGCAAATGACGTAGCCTCCCTCAGGCCTCCGCCACACCTTTGAGCTCTTGGGGCTTGGGTTTCCGGACTTGGGGTTTAGGGTTTAGGGTTTAGGGTTCAGGGTTTAGGGTTTAGGGTTGGAGTGTGTAAGGGATTTGATTTGGGGGGTTCAGGGCTGCTCATGCTGTTTTGTAGGGTTG